ATAGCATACGCACAGTTCTGGAAAAATGAGAATATACCATCAGAGGAAGAAGTGATAAGAAAAATCCTGGACTGTGCTGAGATGGACAAATTAACAAAAGAGATAAAAGAAAAGGAAGACACAGAGTACTATCTAATATGGAACAAGTGGTATGACTGGTTGGAGACTAGAAATAATAGAGGAGAATAAATGTGGAAAGATCAAAAGTGGAAAATGTGTGTATAATAAAAACAACGGGACAACAAGGACAAATATTCTAAAGAAGAATAAGGGGGGGAAATGTAAATAATAGAAGATTACCGTTACAAAATTGCTGTTAAAAAAAAGGAGTATACACTGTGTGTGTATGTGTGTTATGTTTTGTTTTGTTTTGTTGGTTTAAAAAATAAAAAAATATTAAAAAAAAGAAAGAAACAGGTTTCCACAAGAGTAGCCTGATCAGCATTATGCCCTGAACATATTATTTTATCTGAATTGCATCATTACTATATTAAAATGTTCCAATTTATTTAGTACCTACATAAAAAAAAATTCTCTAGGATAAGAGTGTAAAATTTTACAGTATTCACTGAAACAATTCCAACTAGTGACACATTACATATAAAAACAGATTTTCTCTATGATAAATATGATTGTAAAAAATGCATTTACAACTCAGCCACTTTGTCCTCTTTTTTGTTTGAGATTATAGCAGGTACAAACACACAGTAAACAGCAGATGCTAACTCTATGGCTAGTGGAAGATGAAAGCTGAGTAGCAGGTATTATAACGCAACAGCTGTTTCTATATTCTATTCAATAACTACAATAAACGAAGGTGGAACAATCAAGGTATGTTGGCAGTTCTACAGAAGAAACTGGGCCAGCTCCGACTATGTCACCTAGTGGCAAAAGAACTGTAAGCAAAATAACAGAGGTGGTGGTGATAGAAGCAGTTTATACCAGTTTTCATTATGAATATTCTATAACATTGCCCTTTGTCAAGGTTCTGTATATGAAGATTGTAAATTAATAAGTGGAGATGTACCCAATTAAGTACAGTACATGTTAATGGATTCATATTACTTGAACTTGATTCCTTGATAATTCTATCAATTAAAACTATATCTAGATATATTTTCCAAAGAAAAACATATTTGTTTTTAAATGATATACTCATGGATAACTTCAGAGGTCATCTTGGAAAAGACATTCCCTCTGCTGTGTGAAAGAAAATGGGAATGTTTATTATGTATTTGTTCTTGGCATATATAGTATGTAAGACTGATTATATGCATTATGTAATTTTCAACTCCAAACGACCGTATAGATTTTCTCCATGACTATCTATCCCTTACCTGGTCTTTCAGGTCTTCCAACTTGCCACTTTAACTGAGTTCATCCAACTGGTTGCTTGGTATAAATACATCCAGGCTTATTATCTAAATAACCAGAAATTTCAGTTTACTAAGAATGCAGCCCTATGAGAGAATGGAAAACCTCCTCTGCTGCTGCTATTGATTCATGAAAGTCATGCTGAGTTATTTATAAAAATAATAAAGATGGGATATGTGTGTGTATGTATATGTGTGTAAATGAAAATTACTCTTGGGCAAAGAACTAGAGAAGAACTTCCAAGCTAAGTGAAAACAAGGATTGTTTGATTCACCCTGAACAAAAAACTTATTTTAATTCCAAGATCATTGAGAATTATTTCATTCATCCTCCCCTTACCTAGCTTGGTTCCCCTTGCAGTGGATAACACAGATGAATGATCCAAGATACTGCATGCTATGGAATCTGAAATTCTATCTTCATATGATGGGGACCTCAATCAGAAATAAATGCAATTGTAATTAATAAAACAGATACTTACAGGACTCATAACATTGATATTTACAATGCAGCAAATATCAAACACCACTCTGATTGCTGTTTTTGTTAAATAAATTACAACCAGAGAAACAATGAAAAAGTTGTGCATCAAAACATAAGAAACTTAAGGTAATACTTCCTGTACTTAAAACTATTGACAAACTATTTTTGTTCAACGGTGTATCTATAGAAAAGAATATTTGTAGCTCAGCACAGCTCAGGATTGAATTGTGAGGTCTTTGGTGCTCTCTGAGCTTGGTTGTTTTCTTGCAGACATTTAATTACCCAACTAGGCAACATCATCACAAACTCAGACAGCAGCAAGGACCCCTCAATGGTGTATATTAATAAGTGATAAATAATGTCAATTATATTGATTGGTATTGCTTATTGCTTATTTAATTAATTACATTTATTGAATATTATAATGGTTTTTAATAGAATGGAGTACTTGGCCTATGATTTGAAATGAATTGGTATTAAGTCTGTACAGGTAGACCTTCAATTAAGACCACAATTGGACCTGAAATCTCAGTTGCTGAGTAAAGTGGTCATTAAGCGAGATGCCACATGACCACTTTGCTCAATGACTGCAATCCTGGCTCTCCTAGTTTGCCACTGCTTGTGGAGCAGGTAAAAAGATTCAATATAGTTCTATTCCATCATTGACATTTATGTATGTCATCCACCAGAAACCAAAACTGTCTCAGTTTCAATGTTGTCTGGAGTTAAGATGCCACCGCATGTTCCAATATTTGCTGAAGAAACAGAAATTGGATACTGTGACAATTAGCTATTGGGTCTAAACTTGATTTCTTTAACCAAGGCCTCACCATTGCTTCCTACAAGAAAATAGTGTTACATCAGCCCTCAGGTAGAATTTAATACTTTCCAAGAGGTATATCCAAATTCAGCCATATTTAGAAGCAAAAATGGATAATGGTGCCAGATGTTAAATAAGGGGAATTGATATTATTCCTCTGAGTAGTTTTTCTATATCTTTAATATGTACTAATGAAATAATATAAATTGATTAGAACCTTTATAAACCATGTTCATGGATATAGTTTTTGTTTTTTAGTTGTTCAGAGATAAAAACATTTTTTTATATTTTATTATGTTATATTTATACTATTTTTTATTATTAAGTTATTTTTGTAAGCAGCCCAGAATCACTGAGAGTGAGTAGGCCATATAAATTTTCTTAAATAAAATAAATAAAAAATAAATACATTTTCAGAACAACTCCATTTTTGTTTAAGATGCCGATTGCAAGAAAATCCTAGAAAAAGTCATAAGTCATAGCTTAGTACAGTGATGGTGAACCTTTTAGAGACTGAGTGCCCAAACTGCAACCCAAAACCCACTTATGCATCGTCGAGTGCCGGGTGGGTTTGGCCCATTGGGTGGGCGTGGCCCATTGGGTGGGCGTGGCTGCAGTGGTAACAGCAGACTGGGTGGGACTAAAAAGTTCAACCAATCAATTCCAGATCTTTTTTTTCCTGCAAGAAGTTGAAATTGACTGAACCTTTTTTTTTTTTTTTTGCACACGGCGGCAGAGGCCTAAAGCGAAAAGGTTTTATAAAACCCAACTAAAGGCCTAGGACTGGGGTGACTGCGCGCGTGCCCACAGAGAGGGCTCTGAGTGCCGCCTCTGGCACCCATGCCATAGGTTCGCCACCACTGGCTTAGTACATGTTATTTCCCATTGTTCACATACACAAACTGTCTGAAGAATGCAATAGTTTGATGGCTAGTTTCTTTTCCGTAGGTTGCACCCTGGATAGAAATGACTGCTAGTCCTTTGTAGATATCTTCAAGGGCTGACATGATGTCCTGTTTCACAGCTGTTACTGTAAGGATTCTGTTTCCATTACTCAGCATTTTGCCTTCCTTTATTACAGTAGCTCCATGAAAGATTTCAAGGCCTAACTCTTTAGCCTGAAGAAGCCCTAAACAAATGAAAAGGATAATTGGCTTCATTATTTTTCTCACGATATTTTCTACAAATAGTGACCATTGTACTTCAGTTATATACTCTGTGATACTGGGAGACAAATTTTCTACTAACAAAGAACCTTCACATTTAATTATTTGTTTCTGTTTAGAAACTCTTGAAAACAGACAAACCTAGCAAATAATTAAGAACACTGTATCTCAGAGGGGCTTCTCAGATGCTTGCTATTCTTTGAGCGAACATGACTATCATCAAATATCAGAAGAAAAGACTGAGACGTAAAAATACATAAAAATAACGAACTTACCAGTGATTTCTATGCTCTTTTTATGACCTTGCAGATAGCTGCCATTTTCCATGGAAATTGACACAGCAGTACAATTATCTAACCAAGCCAATATGGAATTGCAGAGTTGGCCAGCAACTGCAGCTTGGATAACTTCATAAAGATCACTTTTAAGAAGCTGAAGAATTATCTACAAAATTATGTAAAAAAAAAAATCAAACACAAGTACAATAGTAGTTCTAACTTCAGAATTCAGTTTTGTTGTTTTTTTGTTTTCCCAAATGCTATATTTGTGTCTATCTACTGGATCTGTGTAAGCATTGATATAGGGAATAATATTTTCAGGGAACATGGCAAAGTACGGTAGGAAAGCAGTGGAAATTCCCTTTGGGCTCTATGGAAGAAAATATACTAATATAGTCTGGAAGTTAAAGCAACCTCTCCTTTGTTAACTCACAAACGCTAATGCGGCATTATCAGCCTTAATGTACAAAAAATTAGACAACAAAACACAACAGAAAGTAAGCTAACCCAAAATATTAATTTATTGTTTTAGTGTTTCATTGGAATTATATTCCTCTCCTTTACCTGGCATTGTGGGTCACCAAAATGACAGCCAACACTTAAAACTTTCACACCATGTTTAGTAAGCATTAATTCTATTTGTAGCACACCTACATGGGGAAAAAAGGTAAAATAATGATTTTGTTTACATATCCTAAAACAATATATTATCTGTCTTTTTTGCCTGTGGATTTAGGATTTGTGCTCTTAATCAGGAACTCCCACCCAATCAGTTTTGTTCTCAGATGAGTTCTTACCTGATGCATGCAACATGACATTTCATAGAATAACACCTAAAGCAATCTTTTGCTAACCAAGAAAATCAACTGATGTAGATTGGGGCTCCAACATAAACAACAAGACAATCATCCAGAGTCATATCCAGGGTTCCAGAACTAGGCCAGACAACTCTGGAAAACTGAACTATTCATCACAAGCTCCTTCAGAGACATTCAATTAAGCACACCAAGCAGCTGGACTAAAACAGGATTCACAAGTTCTGTCAGCTCTCAGGCTTTGCACAGTAGGCCAAAGGTCAGGAGCTGTTTCCACTTTAATATTTTACTATTTATTTTACCATTTAAAGCAACAGAATTCTACCTCCCCAAATAAAATGTGGCTGTTTTGTCCTTCATTTTCTTGTTATGTCTGAACTGAGATTTCAATAGTAAGTTTTGGAAGAACTAAGAAATCGCATGCAAGGCCTAAGTGGGGTGGGATAGTTGCAGCCCTGAGGCCCTACTTTGTGCATACCTAATCTATAGTACAATCAACAATTCCTAAAAAAATATCAGAAGCAAGTATAGCCCCTTACCTGCGTATGACAAACCTTCTTGCTTCATACCTTCAAGAATGTGTTGAAGGAGCGTGCTTTTAATTTTTTCCAGAAGAACTTCAGGAACCTAATAAGTCAAGGAAAAGAACACATTAAGAATTCTCTATTAAACATTTTCTTCAATAGCAACACACACGGACAAACTCTGTTTGATACAACAGCATATCTTTCAAATATGTATTACAACCTAACAGAAGTTAGGGCATGCTTTAGAAGTCAAGATGCCATTGATTACCAATGCTTATGAATCATTCAATACTGTCAATACCATTTTAACCAAACACAGGCTCTGCTCCTCCCCTGCCAGACAGAAACAACCCAGATAAACATGTATTATAGAATATAGTATACATGTGCTAACGTACAGTATCTTTGTACTTTGGTGCCAGAGGCTCCATATTTTAATGAAGTGCATAGTCTTCTGTGCACTACATATTTGTTTCTTTAGAAAAAGAAAGCCACCAATATCATTGAACATTTAAAAAAGATAAAGTTGAATGATTGTTTACCCAGGAATCTTACTATAGTAACCAAATATTTCTAGACTACAGTATACAGGACTTCTTGGCATCTTTCATGTAAGACCATGGACCAAATATGATGCACCTTAGGAAAAGGGGCAAAGGCTCCTATTTCAATGATGCTTGGACTCTGATGTTCATTCAGCAGCTGCTTCTGGACCCGAACTGGTGGCATGGGAATAAAAGTGGCTCCATCAACAAAGCATAAATACTGAAAGGAGAGCAAAGGAGTCTGGATTATTTATATGGTAAATGCAATTCATATTTTTATTGTATTTATATTTCAATTAATACACACCAGACCAGCAAACTGTTCAACAAGCCCTTCCAGCTACACTCTGACTTCTTAACTGAGAGTTTGTTTCACAACAAGGAGGTATATATTATCCCCACAACTGTCTATTCATCTGTTTTTCTTCCTCTTCTTCCCTAAATCTACAAACCTTCATTTTTTTCTTATTTTGAACTCCACGAATGTGGACGTGGAGAAGGAGCAATGCAGGAAAAGAAAGATATCCAAACCCATTTCTAGGACTCCTCCTCCATAATGTTTTTAAAATTATAATTTTTCTGGCTTTTAATAATATTTTCTAATGAAATTCTTGAAAATGTTAAAAATGTTAAAGCTCGGCACTACCATATTTTTAAAACTTCAATTGCCCTAAAAAAGTTTCATATATGCTTTCACACTCAGCCCCCTCCCCACATATGCATACGGTATATGTGTCTGTGTGTATACTATATCTGTCTATATCTGTATGTGTGTGTGTGTGTGTGCACACGCGCATGTGCATATGCATATGTACAGTATATGTATACACATACATATTTTATCCATAGCAGTCCTATGACCACCTAAACTGATTGACTAATTACCCAGAGAACAGAATGAGAATTTAAATCCCAATATGCCAATACAACAAATTAATTGCATCTGAATTTCTACAATTAATAATACTTAGCACTACTATAATGCTCAACACTTTTCTAAGCACTCTGCTAGCTTTATTCTTGATGTTAATAATCACACTAGAATATGTAGTCAGGGTAAAAAGTAACCCAGGCAAACAATGATAATTCTGACCCAAACATTTAATGAAACAACACACTGAAAATTCTTCCCCTTTAAGAAGTTCTTCAATGATAACTGTCTCAGAGGAGTCTTCAGAATGATAACACATGTTGTCCTGCAATATAAATAGAATAGCCAATGGTCAAATCTTTTTTCTTGTCATCCTTCCTTGTTTATGAGAAACCATCTTTACAGCATTTCCACTATGAATATCACTTCATTTTCCCCATATAAAACTTTTTATAGAGCATATTCTACTCATGGGCAATATAAGTCAAATCCTTAATTTCTTATCTGATATGATCACAATTAATTATAGAATTAGAATTAGCGTCCAACTCCTGCTGACTGCAGAAATATGCCTTAAGGTAATCATAGTATTATATGGGGGACTATGCATGTCAGCATACCTACATATAAAAATGCTACTGTATTACGTTGGAAAGTTGGGCCCCAAAGTAGCTTAGATTTGTTTTGTTTTAAAAAAAAACCTTGCAATTTTCCTTGCAGTAACAGAAAAGCTACAAGTTTTGTTCCTGAGATGGTAGCTTTCTTTAGGCAGAAAATATTTCCTACGTGAGAGTTTTAAAGGTGATGTCCTCTACAACATTCTTTTATAATAGGATGAGACTTCATCACTTGTGTTTATGGATGCATCACCAATTAAATTGGATGCCACCGTTAGGAAGATGTTTAATTTTAACCATATCATAGATAAGCCTTTCTCTTTGTCAGGACTATTTTATTAAAATATTTCTATCCTATTTTTGGATTACACAAGTCAATGAAGTCAGAAGACAATACACAGAAAACAAAGAAACATTTAGCAGAGATCTGACTCTGCATTTAGGTTTAATATAATCAATATTCAGAAAAAAAGCACACACCATAAAATGTAATTTATAATCAATTTTGGCCCACTGATTCACTAATTCACTTTGCAACATAACTTCACCGAATTCTGTAAGCTTGCTATAATACTTTACTATTAAACTAAGCAATTATAAACCAAAATGAATCACATTCAGGGTTCACGTATTGTCTGAAATCATAATGTGATTTAAGTATTTTCTTAATATTATATATGAATATGAATATGAATACAGGGAATACGTTTACATAGAAATGTAAGTCACCTGAAGAATATCTTGTGCTGCCTTAGAGGCATCTGCTCGGTTGGATGCAAGAACTATTTTTTTTCTAGGACCGAAACCACTAGGTTTTATCACCAGTGGAGGAAAATCTGCACTTTAAAATAAGATAAGAGCACATTAGAAGAAAATGTACAGTATATGATCCAAGGTCTCCTTTTGTAAAACTGCAGACTGGAAAACTATATATGACAGAATCAAGGACCAACATTATTCTCAGGACTCTTACGGTTCTGATCAACATCATGTAAATACTTCAGTAAGGGTGAATATGAATAGTAGAGTCTTGAAAATAGAAGAGTAGAGGTCTCAGGATCCAATCTGGGATCACAATTATTACAATTATTCCTAGACTTCCTCTTGAAAAGCCTAATAAATTACCTCTAAATTTGCTGAGAAGACAGATAGAACATTCTTTTTTTCCAGCCTCATCTACATCTTCTGCCTCTGTTTTGAAAGATGGAAGTCTTAATTTTATTAGCTTATGGATGGGCTTGGTTAAACTGCCTCATACGAGACTAAATGTTGACTGAGATCTGGCATAAGATAATAATCTGCTAGAATTCTCAATAAAATGTTTTTTACAAAGTGATTGTAGTAATGTATTAGCGTCAACATATTTTCGATTGTTTACATTGTTTCTAACACTTTTTCCACATTATTTTATCAAGGAATATTAGTACTATTTTCTTTTCACTTCATAATAGCCATGTTGACACATAAATCTATACTTGTCCAATCTGACTCTTTTAGTTATTTAAAAGTCAAGCTTTTAGCTTCTAACTTGCATGGACTGGCCATTCATAGTGAACCTGCAGAACTGGGGTAGAACATGCTCAGAGATGTGGCAATCTGCTTCAAGAAACTGATCAAGAAGGAAGAAAGACTGGTGTGAGGTGTGCTCTCCCACTACTGCACAGCGTGACAATAGTGATAATAGTCTCTAGTGTCTCTCTAATGTTTCCTTCTGATGTGTGCTTAAATTTTTCTTTTTAGCCAATGAGAACAGATTTTGGAAATATGTTTCAGTCATGTTATGTAAGTTATTTCATATTATTAGGCATAAAAAAGAGGAAAGATTCTTCACACGGAGAGTCTTAAAATCCTTGTAAGGTCCTCCTGTATCAAATTATTTGATTAGAAACACAATCATTGCTCTGTGATGATCCTACCTATAGAACAGATAATCTTAATACTTCAGTGAAAGAAAATAAGTATTTACCTGTTAATAAAAGCACATGCTTCTTTAGGATTTGAAAAGGATTTCCATCTTGCTGTGGGAATTCCATGCTGATCAAGAAAGATGTTAGTGAAATATCTATTTGTTCCCAACTGGGCTGCCTTGGCTGTAGGGCCAAAACACTGAATTCCAGCTGCTACCAAGTCATCAACAATTCCTAGTAATGAAATACTGAAAGGCTCAGATAAATTGAATATAATTGAATGTCATATTATTGTACTGTCCCAGAACCAAAGTGCATCTAAAATGTACATATTGCTATGAAAAGGGAAGAGTTTGGCTGATTTAGTAAGGTGACCAACTTTTTTACAATGAGAAGGAGGACACAAATAAATTGAAGAAAAAAAATATGAATAAATAAAATTAATTATTAAAACTGAAACAATAACATAAGCGAATAAACTTGTAAATAAAATTATACAGATTTGGAAATTATTAAATAGATAATGAATTAATAAAACGTGAACTATTGTGCTCACCTGTGTATGATTGAATATTCACTGAGAAAGAAGTGAGTCTAATGCATGCATGTGTGCCGTGTTGTGTTCGGTAAGAAGTAAACAAAGCCACTTGCGCGCGGCGCACTCTCTCAAAACAATTCTGTGCACAGCGCATGCGTCTCATAATCGCGTCTCGCCACACTGTACCGAGCCTTGACAAATCGTCATGTCAAATACAAATACATCACATCACACGCAACGGATCGGATCGGCATCGATCGAATACGGAGATTTACAGATTAGTCTTCAAATATCGAAAAGGAGGACATGTAGGAGGACACTTTTCGAGAGAGGACAGAACTTACAAAAGGACTGTCCTCCCTAAAGGAGGACAATTGGTTACCTTAGATTTAGCATTATAATGAGATTGTTGGAAAGATTCTGTTGTTAGCCCTTTTTTAAAGACAACATTATTAGTCATCAGTGGCTATATGAATATTCATGAATATACATTTAATGGTTGTAAAAATGGAATGCACACTGAATGAAATGTAGGATTTTGCTTATCAATCTCTTTGGCACATTTGGGGCATGAATCTAAGAAGGAAGTGGCTGAACTACAGTTGTAAGGACCCTGTCCACTTCCTCAGGCCCAACTGAATCAAACTGTTCCTAGATAAACAGATAATCAGTTTTTCCCCAGAAAAAAGAAGTGGGAAAACGTAGGAAGGATGCAAAAGTAAGGTGCTATTATGTGGACTCCTCATAAATTTTCACAAATGAGGAATGGTAATTACATGATAAAAACATCATCTGAAAGCATCCTTGTACTCCAGAACAGCAAACTACATCAAACTATTATAAAATCCTTATAATGCCATTCAGTTATGATGTATCAGCACTGAACTCCTTGTCCAGTATTGTACATCATTCTACAGTCCAAGACTGGGGCATTAATTTTAATCTAAGTTCAAATCCTCAGCTTTGGAGGAGGTTCAGACCTTACCAGCAGCCAGCAAAGTTTCTGGTCCAGCAATCACAAACCCAATGTTATGATCTTTGCAGAACTGGGAAAGGATAGCATGGTTGCTAATTAAAACACCTGAAATAGAAATTAAAAACACATACTTTAATATCCAGATACCAAATATGAAAACTGTGCTTCCCAAGGGAAGCAGAAGCAATCTTGCAATTAATGAAAATAATAATTTTAAAAATGTATATAAAAAGTTGGCTGAAGAAATCTTATAAGTGGAGGGGGGGAGTTTCCTTTTTTTTTTTTTACAACATGCTAAGTTTGGTTGGTTTTAGTACTGATTAATTTTTATGCATCTTCTTGGGTGATGCAAACTCAACTTGTTTGGTGAGTTTATGATTCAATGTATTGTACTGGTTCAGAAAACTGGGTTAATTTACTAACCTAACTAAATTGACTTTATGAATCTAGCTACCTCCTCTTTCTATTTAATTCATATTAAATTGTTTTCTCTGTGTAATCATGAATCAAATGCATTGTCCTAAACATTTATTTTTGTACAATATGTGGTACAATGGTTTGGGGAGGAATTATAGATTTTTCTCTCCAGGGGCATTCAAACATATTAATGCATTGTCATATAATAATCTTTTTACCTGAATTAGACATTTTCCCATCATTGACTATTCCGGCATTTCCTGGTGCAACCAGTACTTGTTTCAGGTGTGGAGATTGTGCCAGCTTCCAAGCCAGTGCATGTTCTCTGCCTCCGCTGCCAATCACAAGCACTCGATCAGCCATTCTTGCTTGTTCTAGTAGGCTGATGGATGGTGACTTGTGACTTGAGACTGCATCAAAAAGGAGAATCAGCTTAAAATTTATTTGGATAATAGGCACACTAGAGACAAGCAATAGAAAAACAGTAGAAAATGGTCCTGATTTCTCTATAATTTAAAGCATGTTAAATGAAGTAACTGCAAAAGAATTGGCTAAAGAATTAAATTATAATAAAAGGGAATCAGAAACTAATCAAGACATAATTGGGCAAAAAAGGTACTGACATATATAAATATATATAGATCCTGCAGTGCACATTGCTCTTAATGTTACTTCCATGTATTTTGTTTCAGCAAACTGGAGCTATCATACTGGCTGCACATATTCATTAGATGGCCGGGAGAAGTTACATAAAAGTAATGTTGCTACCGTACATCAGTTGTATAGATTTCCGTAGTTCAGACATGCCAGACATATGGTCATCCTCTTCCACTTAGAATGCCGCTTCCAGAAAGAGACAGATGGAGTGATGAGAGAAAAAAGGGGACATCCACATAGCCAGGAAAATCAGCCAAAGCAAATTTGGTAATCCATGGGGTGACAAATGTGGCAGCCACATTGCCTCCAAATCCCTAGGCCAGGGGTAGGCAACCTTGGCTCTTTTATGACTTGTGGACTTCAACTCCCAGAATTCTGGGAGTTGAAGTCCACGAGTCATAAAAGAGCCAAGGTTGCCTACCCCTGCCCTAGGCTGATACAGTGACTAACTTTCTCAAGTTTTTAAGTTGTGACACTTCATAAGAAGTCATTCAGGGAATGGAAGCTGGCAACCGGACAGAGAGAAATTGCAAGAATGAAAAGAAACAGTTGGAAAGTGTGTTATGAAAGGAGGTATGCAATTAGCCTATCCCAACATTATTCTTGATTAGATAGGTTTATGCATGTCAATAACATTGTGCCTTCATTTGTTGATATTTTTTAAAAAATGAACTAGAAATAAGCATCATGAATGCTGAGGCAGAAAGAATGGGAGCTCTCTATAAATGTGACCTTTAAAGTCCACTGCTGCACTTCTTGCCCATCAAATATGTTAATCACAGCGCAATAAAATGTGCCTTTTTATCTCTACAAAAAAAAAAAATACTTTTAGGTGGAAAAGCAAGCAGCTGGGAAGGAGTGTTAGGATGGATCAGCCTTAAAGGATGCCCTTAACACAATTCTCCTCAAGTAATTTAAATCAAGATATAAGGAGAAACTGCATCCTTTCAGAAAACTGAAAGATTATTTACATATATCTCTGCTCATAAATAATGCTGATAAAACCTTGAACAGAATTTACATGTAGCATATGTGCCTACAATAATAAATAACCAGCAGGAAACAATAGGGAAATAGCTTATTAGTTACTTAGCTTATTAAGATGTTTGTAGGATCTGAGCAACTGCTACTACATTGGCAGTTGGGTTTCACTCAAACTAGCCCACATTATTTGCTAATTTGCATTGTTATTGTTTTTATGCTCTAATAACAGTCCTGAATCTTCATGCCCTTTTCCTGCCAGTATATGAAATCCTAAGGTTGAGAGACAGTGACAGGCCCAATGACAGGTTCTGTCATTAACCACTACATCATACTGTCATTCAAAAAAGCCCCATCCCTAACAAAACAAATAACAAAAAATACCATAGATTGAAGATAATTTATATTCCCATTTAAAGGAAGTTTTTGACTTGAAAGATTTTGAGATATATTTTTTTTTACATCGACAGATGTCCACCTGGGGTTGTGCATTATTTTCTTTTATAGTAAATTTCAGAATTCTACACAGAGCTTGAAAAATCACTTTCAGCAATTTGGGAGATTTTAACTTTTCTGAAAAGGATGGATGGATGGATGGATGGATGGATGGATGGATGGATGGATGGAAGGAAGGAAGGAAGGAAGGAAGGAAGGAAGGAAGGAAGGAAGGAAGGAAGGAAGGTCGGTAGATGGCAGCATAGAGATATACTGTAGAAGACCTGAACTCCTTCCTGCCATCTAGTGATTATCTAGTGATTATCTAATTCTTTATGACCTGGATACAATACAGGTAGTCCTCGACTTATGAGTTAATGCAGCCTGCCCATTCCACTCATAACTCGAAAACCCGTGGGAGTGAATCTCGTACCTCGAACGAGATCACTCCCTTGCTCGTTAAGACGCACGTCGCTCATTAAGTGAACATGAGGTATCTCAGGGTGGGGAAGGCCATGGAGGGCCTAGTGATGGAACAGGCCCCCAAGGCCTCCCTGACCACTAAGATACCTCATGCTTCCCCCTCCCTTCCTGCTGCGCCAGACTCACCTTCAAAAGATCCGTCTTCTCTCTGCTGCGGTTCCTGCTTCCACCCGGATCTGAGGCCAGAGGATGCTTCCGCATGCCTTTGGAGGCTGGATCAGGGCATCGGAGGCATTCTTTAGGCCGCTGCCGCCCGGATCTGAGGCTGGGGGACACTTCTGTGGCATTCTGGCAGCCCAATCCAGGCGCCGGAAGTTTTCTCCAGGCTGCTGCTGCCTGGAAACAGGCCACCGGAGGGCCACATCCCCTGGCCTCAGATACAGGCAGCAGTGGCCTGGAGAAGGCCCCCGGTGCCTGGATCAGGCCACCCGAAGGCCACGGAAGCATCCCCCAGCTTCAGATCCAGGAGGCAGCAGCCTGGAAAAGACTTCCAACGCCCCGATCCAGCCTCCGGAGGCACATGGAAGTGTCCCCTGGCTTCAGTTCTGTTCTCCGTACCATGAGATCACCGAGATCAGTAGCATGAGATCTCGCCCCATTGATGTTGCTTGATCTTGTGTTACTTTAGGCCTCCATTCTCTGCGAACTCACCAAAAACCTGGAGCAGCCAAGAAAGCGAAGGATCTCGATCTTCGCAGGGTGAGTATTGAAGGCCTAGTGCCTAGGGAGACCCGGGGTGGGGAGGGGGGGAAAAACCAGGATGAATATTGCAGAGCCTCTGCGGTCGCTTGTAAAGGCGAATGGCTGCCATAGTACTGCAATATTCGTAATTTTGGGACTTGCTCATAAGCACTAGGGGGCGCTTATCGCGTAACTTTGAACAAGCATTAAGTGAACGTTCATAACTCGGGGATTACCTGTATTGTAATCTAAGTGTTTTGAAATAACATTTCTGAAATTCTCTGTTTTACCTCCAACATTTTGCTGGGAATTCTGGAAGTAACACTTTTCTATATGATTTTATTACCATTAGGGCTATCCGATCTGCAAAAAAATTACTAGATGACAACAGAAAGATTCAGAAATCTCTAACTTTTGGTTATAATTTATCAGTCATCTGGATTTTTGTAGTCCAGATCTGGAAGCTCCGATTACTACATTTACAGAAAAAGTGCTGGACACTCAGACTATGTCCTAAAGCTGCAATTTTTAAGAACAGACAATGCTTATGAATTTTGAATGGTATTATCCTTTGCTCTGATGACGCCTGCCTAGAAATTTCTGCAAGAAAAGCTTACTGATTGCTACTGTACAATAGCAGTATTTTTCTCTTATTTATCTACTTAACCAAAGGAGGAACTAGGTTAAGACTGTAGACAGAATGAGCAAGCATTTATCTGGATAGTCATGTTCAGATGTGAGTTGGATTTTTGCATAAGGTCCTTCTTTAATTTTCTTCATTGGATGTATAATCTAACATCTATACTAAAGCAGTTTATCACAAAGAAATCTTTCTTCTTAAAACTAAAACAAAATTCCAAGATTCCAATATGCCTTTATCACAAAGAAATCTCTCTTCTTAAAACTAAAACAAAATTCCAAGATTCCAATATGCCTTACGTGTTCAACATCTCTGAATGAAAGCTTAAATTAAAAGAAACCATTAACAACAACATTCAGCAAAAACTGGTAAACGCATTAAGGAATTTTTCAGCATTGGCTTACTCAGCATGGAAGGAAAGTCATCATGAGTAATCCCTTCCCTTTGTTTTCTCCCCTGGGACTTTAAGGCAGCTTAAATTGCCCAATGCACTTATAGCACACCTGTTTTCAAAAGGAAAAGGTGGATGTATAGGTGTGGGTGTATAGGTGTGTTGTGTCATGTAGGAAAGCAGAAAGAAGGAATTTACAGCTGAGAAAGTTAAAAAAAAAAGCCACCAGCTTAACAGACAAGTGATGACAAAGCAGGAGCAGGCTTGGACTTCACCAAACCAGCAGCAGACAAGCCAAAAGGAAAGCAGAGCCCAGCAGCTTCACCACTCCAGCAGCCACATTGAGAAGCTGCAGCCAGCTGGTAAAGCATCTTCCTTTTCTCAGATGGAGAAGTTGCTAAGCTAACGATTCGGCAGTTTTGAACAGGAGCCGACAGTAACAGAAGCCAATTTGAAGATGGCTAATGACTTCGATGTATGCTCAAGTGACCAAGAAGAATAGGTTGTGTATGAATAAAATATAGGCCTATATAAATTATATAAAACAAATAAACACGAACACCAGGAAAAAATTTAAACTAAAAACGTTTAATCTAATGCCAAGCTTTCGTCGGTCAACTACCGACATCATCAGGGCTTAAAACAGGTCGATGGGAGTCTCCTTTATAGTGTTGGCCAGTTTTTGCGCACGGCTCCTGGACCTCGTCATCGGTCCACTCAATGGTCCTAATTGGTTAAACTGTGTATTGGCTGTTTTCTTGATGTTATTTGGGGCTGCTGCTCCGTTACTTACTTCCCTTCCTCCAATCTCCCTCTTTGTACGTATGCTATTATCTATCCCCCCGCCACAGGCTCCTAGAGCCCGCGTATTCCTTCCCCCCCTTCTTTGGCCGTTCATTTCCTTCGTATATATCCAGTTGTTCCCTCTCACCCTGTTGGGCTGTGGGCTTGATGTTCTTCCCTCACCTTTTCCTTCCGTCGTCCTTCTCATGTCTCCATAGCCATATCCTGCGCCTATATCACCTCCTACGGTCCCTACCCCCTCTTCTTCCTCTTTGATGTTCATTTCATTCGTGTCACCCCGGTCGTCGCATT